GAAGTGGAATGCAACTCCCTTTCTTCTCTGAAGACCCTGTTATAAAAAATCCTCCTGAATCCCCATTGTTGCCAATTCTCTGCTCTGTCCCTTCAGAATGGAGAACTCGCCCAGGAGCTCCACTTGAATAAAAGTTATAAAACTCTAAACTTCATCTCTTTTTCACGTACTTGTTTTAGATACACCACAATACAGCTATAAATTTGAGGATTTTTTTTCCTCCTCCCTCAAGATACCACACTCCTGACCTGCTGGCTCTCACTACTGTTCCCTGCGGTTAGACAATTTTCTGGAGTAACAGAACTCATAAAAGTGCAGAGGGCCCTGGTGGCCGACTTATGCTGGCAGTTCTAATCCACAAACTGTTCTGTATGAGATAAAATGGGCAATCTCTCATGCAATTTATAGTCTCTGAAAACCCACTGGGAAGTCAGTTATGGGTCAGTTCTGACTTGACTGCATACAACAACAACAACAACTTTTTAATTTTCAAAGTTATGAGTTCAGGGTTCTATTTTAGGATATCCATGCCTAATGGCAAGAAGCTGCATTGCATTCCTGAAAGCATGCGGTTCAAGGCTACCAGCTGCTCTACAGGTGAAGGATGGTTAAAGTATTGTGTGATTTAATCTTTTGTGCCTCTGAGGGTCAACTATGGGTTGGTTCCAATGATAACAGCAATAACAAAGAATATCAACAGTTTTCCCACTGGAGGGTCAGTTATAAGTTATAAAAATGCTATACTTAGGGTTAATTTTAATAGCAAAAAGATACTTAATTTATAAAGCATTTTATTTTTAATAATTAAAATGATATATTATAGCATTGTGTTGTCATTATAAAGCACAATCCAGTCAACCACAGTTTGTAGTGATCCTATGAATGATGAATCTGAATCTGGTCCTATACTGTGTCATCTTAATTATCTGACATACTTGAGCCCATTGCTGCAGTCACTGTGTCAATGCAGCTGCTTCTTTTTATTATCTTCCACTCTAAGGATTCCACTTCTAGTATTTTAACAGTGCTCCTATATTGTTTACAGAGATTGTCAAAGGCCAATTATTTCAGAAGGGGATGGTCAATCCTTCTTAGTCTGTATAAATCTGGAAGCTCCGCTGAAACCTGTTCACCAAGGGTGACCCACTGGTTTTTAAATACTTGTGGCCCAGCTTCCAGAATCACAGCAGCCAGCAAGTCACTCAAGTACAGCAAACTGACAGATAAGTGCTGCATTCAAAAGAGCAAATTATGAATGAGCAAACATGATAGGTGCTGTCAATATGACTCATAGCGACCCTATGAACAAAAGACCTGAACCCTGTTTTATTCTGTGCCATCCTCAAAAAAAAAAAAAAAAAAAAAGATTCCAATACAGCAGTCACCATACCAATCCAAAGAGCACTCTAGCTGCACCCTCTCCAAGACATAGCTGGTTGTTCTCTTGGCCATCAATGGGATGGTTCAGTGCTCTTCTCCAATAATATAACTCAAAGGAATCAATTCTTTTCCTGTCATCCTTATTCATTATCCAGCTCTCAGATGTACAGCAAGTAACTGGAAAGACTATGGCTCCAATTAGACTCCCCTTAGCTCTCAAACTGACATCATTACTCCTCAATAAGGAGCACTACACAAGTCACTCCTCTTCAATACAGCCAAGTGGCAGATAAATGTTGTACCCCTAATAAAAGTATGGGATGCTTCAGAAATTTGCATATCATCCCTGTGCTAGGGACATGCTATTTTTTTCTATATCATTCCAATTTTAGTATATGTACAGGTCAAAGGAGCACATTATAGCATCACAAAGTAGAAAAAAGAATACAAATGAAAAGATGCATTGAGTAAAGTCTGGAAGGATTCCTACCATAAAGTTATGTATGAAAAACATAGATAAGGCATCCCTACCTTCACATGTGCATAGTTGTGTCATCAACCAGGAAACTCAAGGAATATTCACATCCTTACTGAGTCATCACATAGGCATGATTGACTGAATCTCCACTCCCACCCTTCAAGCTAGGCTTACATGGTCTTTTTGGCCAGCCCAGCCCTGACTTGAGTAGCCTCATTAGCATTAATCATCAGGTATGGTCACACATCTCTAAGATATTACAATTACAGAGGAAATTCCAAGATTTTGGTGCCAGTCTTCTAGTAATGTTAAATACTTCACTCCATTGCTAACTTGCCAAGAGTGTCCATGTCTGCTTGAGAATAAAGCTTTCCTCCTCCAAAATAATGAGCTAGAATCACGACTTACGTGACATGACTAATGTGACCACTCTCTTTATATGACAGGCCAGACATTGAAGAAACAAAGAGAACAAAGTAAGGGGAAAGGTCAAACAAAGTGAGGCCAAGGTAGGGAGCCCAGAGCTATGGATCCCTGTCAGCAGGACACGGTCCTCAGCAGGGACTTTTCCCCAGAGGCTGGTGACAAGCAGTAGAGAGCTAAGCTGCCAACCCAAAGGCAATTCAAATCCCCCAGTAGCTCTGTGACAGAAAGATAAGCAATTAATCCCCTGTAATTTATGGACTCTGAAACTTAGTGGAGGGTCAGGTATGAATAGGTTTCAATGGCAGTAAGTTTTTTAGTTGAGTGACTGAGGATGAAAGTATACTCACTGCTTTATAAAAAGAGGTTCTTTCAATGAGGAAATAGCCAATTTTGATGTTTGGAAAAAGTCTTAAGAGAAAATAAATGATGCACACTACAAAACACCTCCTAAGGAATTAGGAAATGAGGTCTACCAAATGTTCAAAAAAAGGGGAAAAAACAAAACCGAACCCAGTGTTCCCAAATGGACACAGAGACTTTGGGTGACCCTGCACCGGGGTTTAAGGCTGTAAACACCAGCAAAGCTGACAACTCCATCATTCTGGCAAACACTTGCTGGTAGATTCATATTCAGACTTAATCTTTTGCTTAGCAGTTCAACATGTAACCTGCTCCTTAACCACCAGAACTCCTTCCGATTCCTTAATATTGAAGCCAACGTCTGGCCATGTCAGCAAAGGTGGATTTCATTCCAAAAGGCAACTACCAAAAAGCAAACAGGACTGACTAGCCTTTTCTTTCAAGAAAAACCCTTAGGGGGTGCCCTCTCTGTTCTCAGGGCCTCAGAGCTTTTCAGACATTGTATTTTATTCAGTTTAATCTTGGAGAGGTTAAACTGCTGAATTAAAATGACTATGCATTTTAGACTTCTTTTACTTTTTTTTGCCTTTATCATTGGCATCCTGGTGAAATATGCACTTTGTAAACTAAACTTCCTGCTTCATCATTATCAAAAAGGGGGGGTGGGCAGGGAGAAAAGCACAATAATGAATGAATGAATGGAAATCCAAAGTCTCTGTAAATTTTCATTGAAATTAAAAAATGATTAAAAAAAAACAACCCAGCTAACATCACTCCAGTCTTCTATTTTCTGTTTCCTGATTAATTAGGAAAAACCAGCTTGCCAGACCTAGCCGGAAAGCTGGGGAAGGACTTTGGAGTTAGAAGTCCCAGCTCTAGCACCACCACTCCTGCCTGAAGTGCCTGTGGGGCTAAATCAAGCAGGAAGGGAAGCCTGGGAGTTGTCCTCAAACACCTCTGAAGCAAGAGAGATGAGGCCCCTCATAGAAGAACATGGCACTGGAGCCAAGCACAGCATTTGGAGAAAGTGTAATCTCTAGATTAAAACCAAAGAGAAACTAGTGAATGAGAGCAGCAGACAAGGTCAGGGTAAAATCCTATCAGGTTCATTTGTTCTGCAGCTCTGTTTTAAAAAATAGTATCTAATGAAAGAACAACACTGGAACTTCTGGCTAAAGGTTTTCACAGTAGCGGTTCCCTTTGTCCAGAGAGACAGCTTTCACCTGCAGCAAGCTGCAAAGGGACTGGGCCCCTGGCACCTAAGGGATCAGCAATTTCCCCAGGTATTGAGATTTTATGAAACATCTTTTAGGGAAAGCACTAAATAATTCCCTCCCCACCCCCCAATGAAGATGCTGCTTTAATTGAACTTAGATGGGAAAATAATGTGTTGTTGATTTGTTTTTTACATATGCATTCTTTTATTTTTTTTATTTTCTACTAGTTTATTTACAAAATTTGAAAACATTGTTAAATCCATCTAGTGAGCCTTTGTTATTCATAGCCTATTCATTGTTGCTACAGCCAATTTCCTTTCTGTTAGTTTAAACTAAAAGTAACAGATAGCTTATTTGTGTAAATGGCTTATTGTCTAACAAGTTACACTTTTTAAGCAAATGTATTTCAAAAGAATTTTCTGTGTGTGAGAAATGTGTTTGTCTACAAAGAATATAAAAATCTCTACATTTCACTTTCTATTTTATGTATTTATTTGTTGGGTTTTTTTTGGTTTTTGGGTTTGTTTTTTTTTTTTACAATTAGCTAGTAGTAATTTTATGTTCAACAAAGATAAAGTTCACTTTGGCAAAAAAACCAATGTAAACACAAATTCATTTCCTTTTTAGCTAAAACAAAACTAATACTCACACATGCTGAAAATTAGAGTATTAACTGTGTCTGGCCTAATGACTATGTGGAATTACAAAAGTTTGCAATGAGGCACGCCAAGGACCCACAGGGAGTAAAAAGAATTAATAGAAAAAATGGCCAGGAAGGCAGAAGTCTGAGCCCAAAATGCTGTGGCCTCAAGCTGTAAGGCTGGGGATGGTGGGGGGAACACCTGGGAAGACGGAGATAAGGAAATGGAAGGAAATCCAGACTAAGATGTTCTACAGGTTCAAGCAGCTAACAAAAATTTGGTGGGGGGTGGTTTCTTGTTTGTTTTGAAGGCCAAGGTTACAAACACAGTAGTATTTTCTTTTTAATAAGCTAAGGGAAGGCAAGGAGCCCTGGGAGAAATCCAAGGGCAGAGAAGAAAAGAGTAGGAGGGGAGGCCTAGGGGACAGGACATAAAGATGCCTGGAAAATTGCCCTTTCTTGGAGGAATTCACCAGGGCATCTCATTGCTAAAACTCACCGACTGCAGGAAGTAGCCGATTTGTGCCAGACACACGTCTGGAGTGGGAGGCAGGAGACTGTGCCCAGCTGACTCACAGAGAGGCGACCTCGCGTCACCAGACGGAATCCTGAATTAAAAGGGAGAACGTGAGACGTACTGAGGGCCAAGTGGCTGCCTGGCACCTGGACTCTTCTATCTATGGACAAACAGCCTGTGCTGGTTAAGAGTTCCACTGCCTGCCTCCACCTCCACCACACCCCAACACTCGACTCATGCACTCGGTACAGTCGGCAAAGGAAGAGCTCCTCCGAGTCTGCAGACAATCTTGTTAAATTTTAAGTTTAAGTAGAATGGATGGCTACAACCTGGAGAAGTGAACTGAGGGTGATTGCCTACTGAAGTCACCACCGAGTCTCCGCGCTTTTCACCTACGCGCATTACACCTTGAGGTACCCAGAGCATTTCACCACCTTATCCACTCACACCCCCCACCCCCAGATGCATAACCCATCTCCGCAAGAGCTAAACCAGTGCAGGCCCAGAGCATCTTCCTCACTGGATCCCGGAGATGAAGGTGCCAGGGAGAGGCAGGTGGCGGCTCGCCTTCGCCGCACTCCCCGCCCCTCCCCACGCGCATTCCCAGCCCGCAGCCCCCTTGCGCTCTCTGCCTGACCTCCTTCTCGCTCCCTACCGGGCAACCTGCGCTCTTTGCCCAGGCTCCCCTGCAATCCCTGCCCGGCACTCCGCGCTTCCTGCCCAGCCCTCCCCCCACCCCTGCGCGCTCCCTGCCCCGCGCGTGCGCTCCCTGCCTGACCTCACCCCGCGCTCCTTGCCCCGTCCTGCGCACAATCCTTGCCCAATCCCCTCCAGCACCTCAAGGCCCCTGACCCAAAGAACTTTTCTTACACCACATCCTCCCAGCTAAGGGTGGAGTAAGCTCGCGCCCGCAGGTTAAATGGGGACATTAATAAGGCAGGCGACAAGAGAGCGAGCCCTCAACTAAATGGAAATCCAGGACCGAAAGCAGAAAGGCGCCACACTCACCTCGCATGGGAACAGCTTAGGTCCTCTGCACCCCCTTTCTCACAGTGACACCAGTGACAATGACCCTGCGGCCGGAGGAAATGGCAGCTTTGGGCTCTAGGACAGAAGGGCGCCCCTCCTAAGATTTAAATAAAGAGACGAAGGGCGTGGGCTCCAGGTCAAAGCAGGGCCCCGCCCAGGCTGCGGTCTCCAGCTGAGCACTGGTCATCACCCTTTGGCCTTGCCCTTCCCCTTCCTCATCCGGATTCTGGCCGGTTCCAATCCTCAAGGTACACCTCTGCCAACACCCTCAGAACCCTCACACTCTACTGACTTCCTCCTGAGAAGTTGTAGGATTTGTGAATCATTTGAAGACAGCCCAGTTACTCATTAAACCACTCTACCACAGATTAGATCTCTCAGCTGTCTCTCTACCTGTTTTACTGCCAAGGAAATTGGAGCCAGGAGGAGCAAACACCCAACAAAGGTCACAGGACTGGAGTGGGAGCCCTTGTCTGTCAGAAGGTTCAGTCCCACTCCCTTTCCTGAAAGCACCAAGGACAAATTAAAGAAATGAAGAACCTGCTGAAAAGGGACGCTGTGGGTTTCAGGGTGAATGTCTTCTCTCACTACTCTAAAGGGCCCTCTTGGCAGTAGGAAACACATAGACTATTATGGAGACTGATTTTGGAATTTAGATGCACTGTTATCAATTGTGCTTAGCCTTACATGTTCATATCCT